CTGCCAAATTCCCTTACATCTGAACGCAACAGGTATTCCAAGTAAGTCAGACACCAGCACAACAGCCCCTGCCCTTGGGGTCCTCAAGAGCCCTTACTGCTTCAGGCACAAAGCAGCTATCCCAGAGCTGGAGCAGCCAGAAAGCTGATTTCATTCCCCTTTCATTCCTGCCATGTGAGGACAGATCACAGAGAAGTAGCTGCTGCAGGATCATTTATTTCACTTTAATACAAAAAGAAACACCCTGCCCCCCCATTGACAATACAATGAGAGACTACCATTGACAGAAAGTCTGTGGGTCAGACAAGATAGGTAGATACTGAAATAACAGATGATGAATACTGACATATCTTTGAAGACAACATCATCACAAGAGGAAAAAACTGCAACTGTAAAGCAGGAAAGACATGCTTGTCATGACCTACACTGGCAGCCCTTTGCAGAGGAAAGCAGGCAGTGTATGGCTGCTGAAACACATCCAGTCACTAGCTTCCTCAGAGCATCCCTGAGCTCCTGGTTCCTCAGGCTGTAGATGAGGGGGTTCACTGCTGGATATGCCACCGAGTACAGAACTGAGACCACCAGATGCAGCAATGATGAGGAAATGGAGTGGGGCTTCAGATAGGCAAATGCTTCAGTGCTGACAAAGAGGGAGACCATGGCCAGTTGAGGGAGAAACGTAGAAAAGGCTTTGTGGTGTCCCTGATCAGAGGGGATCCTCAGCACGGCCCTGGAGATCTGCACAGAGGACCCCACAATGAAAACAAAACACCCAAGGAATAAACAGGCACCAACCACAAGAAGCCCAGCTTCCCTGAGATGTGAGTCTGAGAAGGAAAGCTTACTGCTCCACAGCATTGCCTTGGCAGAGGGTGAGTGAAAATTTATTGGCTGTGTGCAGCAGAGCATAGAGAACCCCACTGCCCAGGCAGCTGCTGCCATGTGGACACAAGCTCTGCTGCCCAGGAGGGACCCGTAGTGCAGGGGCTTGCAGATGGCCACATAATAGATGGTTGTAGGACACGATGGTGAGAAGATAAAACTCAGCTATGAGAAAAAACAGAAAGAAAAATATCTGGGCAGCACAACTTGTGTAGGAGATGGCCCTGGTGTCCCAGAGGGAATTGGCCATGGATTTGGGGACAGTGTTGGAGATGCAGCCCAGGTCCGGGAGGGAGAGGTTGAGGAGGAAGAAGTACATGGGGCTGTGGAGGTGCTGGTCACAGGCTGTGGTGGTGATGATGAGGCCGTTGCCCAGGAGCGCAGCCAGAGACATGCCCAGGGAGAGCCAGAAGTGCCAGAGCTGCAGCTCCCACGTGTCTGCGAATGGCAGGAGGAGGAACCTCCCCAGGTTTAGAAGCACCTCCCTTCACCAAGGGAACACCAACAGAAAATACCTGGTTCACTGATGCCTCAGCAAAAAGGATGGAAACCTTCCACTAGACCAGGTTGCTCCAAGCCCCGTCCACCCTGGCCTTGAACACTGCCAGGGATAGGGCAGCCATAGCTTCTCTGGGCACCCTGTGCCAGCACCTCACCACCCTCACAGGGAAGAACTACTTCCTGAGATCTCTTCTCAACCTCCCCTCTCTGTCAGTTTAAAGCCATTTCCCTCTTGTCCTGTCACTAGGTACCCTTTAAAAAAATCCCTCTCCAGGTTTCTCATAGGTATCCCATTAGGTACTGGAATGGAAACTCATTGTCTAAATCATTGTCTAAATTATCATTTACGTCATCTTCAAATCACTGTGAAACCACTGTTGAAATAAAATTTAGTTATTGCTTAATCACCATTGGATTCCCATTTGACCCCATTTGGTCATTGATTAATTACCATTGGTCATTAATAAAGCAGCACCAGAACACCCCAGGTTCACAAGTCAAATTAATTTGAAGGTTGGATGGAGCACTGAATGCTATTAATGGAAAATTGATCCTGAGAGATCAAGCTTATTATCTAGGAATGAATGCATAACTGGAGTATTACCTCACACAGGTCTCTCTGTGCCTTCTACACGAGTAAAGTTCCCAAATGTACAGGAATTTTTATTGATACATTTTCTTTAGAAGGATTTTTGGAGAACAGTGCTGATATGCAAATTGTTAAAGAATCTTTTTAGTGCTTGAAGGAGAAAAAGAAAATCCATCCAGAATTTTCTTTTTAAAGTATGAACTCATTTAATAAGAACTGCCTAAACAGTCAGGATGAGGCCTCACTGGTGCCGGGCTGCTTCCATCTGGACATCAGAGATCCACTAGAAGCATGAGCTTGGCTTTGAGCTGAGAACATCACTTTGAAATCTCAGGATAACTGCATAGTTCTGAAGTTTAAGTTTGCTTATCTTAATCTCATCGTAGATGCAACTGAGAAGTCCTTTTGTGTTTGACCTGTCACTTACATGATGTGGTATTAAACGCTAACTGCTAAAAGTGTCCAATCAGAACCAGTGTCTAACTGGAGTTGCTTTGTCTGAAATATTCAGGCTAACAAAGGAGGAACCATCACAGCCTATTCCATGTGAAAGGAATTTTGCCTGGACTCAGTAAGTGGTGCAGTTTATTTAAGGACTCCACCCAAGTGGGCCTTCAGTGAGTTCTTGGTGCTGCCCTGTAGGCTCTGGATGGCTCCCTTGCTATGCCCCTTTGTTTAATCCTGTGTTAAGAAATCTCTTCTCAAATACTAATTTCAGCTTGGTTATTAGCATCGTTTTTGTCTCAGCTCTGTTGCAATCCTTTATCCCTGGAAGTCTTTCTACTCTTTTTGGTCAGATGAAGAATGGAGAAAGTCAAAACCAAGAAGGGTTTTGCTTGTCACCAAGCCTTGTCTCTCCAGAAGTCCCTTTTGATCCTGCAACTTTCACAGACTTCGGGTTGCCCCTGGGCTGAGGAGCTGCTCCAGAGCAGGGAGTGACAGAACTGCACATGGGGTTTCCTGGGACTAAACAGGATCAACTGTCTGCACACACACACACACACACATTCCCCCTCTCAGACCACACTTTGCCTCGCCCTTTGGACAGTGTACCCCTTGGACAGTGCACCCGTCATACACAGGCTGTTCCCAGAGGGGAGAGAGCCAGCTCAGAAAATTCCCTGGTCACACTGCGTAAACAAAGCGGTGCCTCTGCTTTCCCACCCTCCCACAACGTGAGCCTGAGGGGCCAGCGGGGATCTGAAAGAGAGCACTGGGGCACAGAGCCCAGCACCAGTGTGACACATCACTGTGACTCACCCAAAAGTGACCTGGCTGGTGGGCCAGATGAGGATGAGGGTAGAGCTGCAGTCCAGGCCCAAGGCTGTGTCTTCCTGTGTGCATCCCCCAGCGCCTTTGCCTTCTGTGACTTGGTTGGTGTGGCTTGAACTCTTGCCAATGAAGACTGAGGCAAAGAAGTCATGGAGAACCTTATCCTTCTCCATGTCCTGGATAACCACATCTCCCATTTCATTCTGGAGAGGGCCCACATTTTCCCTTGTCTTCCTTTTATCCCTGATGCACCTGTGGAAGCTTTTCTTATTGCCCTAATGTCCCTGGCCAGATTGAGTTCTGTCAGGACTTCAGCATTCCTATCCTGATCCCTGGCTGCTCAGACAATTTCTTTATATTCTTCGATGCTACCCTTCCTTGCTTCCCTCTGTAGGCCTCCTTTTTATGCTGGAGTTTGCTCAGGAGCTCTTTGTTCATCCACCCAGGCCTCTAGGTGTTCTTGCCTGACTTCCTCGTTGTCAGCATATGTGACAAATATATACAAGGAAGAATGAACTTAACGGGAAAAGTGTGAGGCTGTGAAAGATGAAACTGGAATTAGGACTGTTGGAGGAAAACCTATTTACTGAGAAAATATTTAATGACTTTGGCTAGGTGGTTTCATGATAAAACACATGGAGAAATGGCAGCAATTGTCAACTGGATTGAAAGAATGTGGGCAGCCTCTGGAATATATGCGGTAGTAAAAAGGATTGTGAGTTCTTGTCCCACATATTTGAAGTTTTTCAATGCAAAGCCCAGAGAGGAGGCTGGAGGATGACCGTGGGCATACTTCCTATTTCAGAGATGGCAAATTGATTATGCTGACACGCCTCAAGTGAGTGGACTTAAGCACCTGCTGGTAAACATGGATCAACTCTTAGGGTTAGTAGAAGAAGCTTTTCCTGCCAGAAAGGCTGTTGCTATGGGAGTGTTCAAAGCATTCTTGTGGGAAATCTTTCCCAGATACGAATACCTCAAACCTTAGAATCTGATAGGAGTTCTTGCTTGAACTTATAGTCAAGTAGGTTTTAAATGGCCTGAAGTTTTAGGAATCCTGCTATTCTGCTACTTTAATACTGCTATAGAAATACTCCTCACTAGCCTCTAGGCTTGTCATCAGTAGAAATAGTGTTTGGCAGGCATTTAGGTATACCTGGAAAGCCCTACCAATAGTTCCAAGGGAGATTAAAGCTGGGACCATTCAAATTCCCTAAGAAGGAAGGAATTCTGGAACCATGACGCTTTGTTTCTGCGGGAGATATGGACAACACAACAAACCA